CTGTTATATCAAATATCAAAAAGTCCTATTTTACGTTGATGTATATATAGAAATTCTTAGTTGTTACTTAACTTTATTCAAAGTATATCAATAATGAAAAAAAAAAAATCACAAGTACATGTATTTAAATATTTAATACTAATACGAAATACTAGATACGCAATTTCTCTAATCTCAAGGTAAACAAAACAATATTTTCTAGGTTTTTTAAAGAACAAAAAATACGATTAACAATAGAGAAGAAACAAAAGAAACAAGAGTTGTTAGATCAAAGGAGAACAGAGTATAGAAAAAAAAGGGAAAGAACATACTAACGAAAATACCAAAAAGAACGAACATATATCAATAACATGAATAACACTTATCTTGTGGCATGTGAATCATGCCATAACAGGCGCGTGAGTCATGTTGCTGATGGATAATTATTGGGTCAGTTTTAAACGTGAGACGATGCCGAAGAATTTGGTGCGAAATCTCTAGAAAGCATCATGTAGGACCCGTTTGGGTAAGAGAACCTCTGATTTTTTTGTTCACTTGTACGCTACTTTCTAAAGTATGGTAAAGTTCCAAGGAACCTGAGAGGTCTTGCAGAGTACCATTTTTTCATCATAACAACTGCATGTAATTAGGAAAAAGAGGTCATATACGGTTACATAAATATACCTGTACAGGTAAAAAATATTTTAAGCAAAAATTTAAATTGATTGTGATTTGCTTTATCAAAAAAAGGTTTTCACTTCCGAAAAAATTTCTCTTGCACTGTGTCTTACCGTTACATGTCTTTATCATTGCTTCTGTCATCAAAATTTCGGACACACTGTTCTATTTCTCTTACGAATAGCAATGGCATTACAAAATCATTGGAACTAGATTGTCAAGTAACTACGTAAATAAAGACGAAAAAAAAACATCTTGCAACAACAAAAACCATTCTAACTAAATGTAATATAATCATGCAGAAAAGGACGAAGAGTGTTGCATGGCAACGATAAAAATCACTTACTTCAAAGTAGACAAGCAAAACACTACGAAGAGAGAGAGAAAGAGAAACATGATATTTCATCAATGAAAAGCAAGTCGAACAAGGTTGCCATGTAGCGATGCAAGAAAGAAGAAATAAACATTATATTTTGTTCATAGACACTCACGAGCGAACTGACGATGAGAATATTTGCCTTAATATGAATTTCAACTAGGATGATGACTTTTTCAAAATAAAGGACGGGTGAATATTTTTTGAATAAGTTTTAAATAGAAACAAGAAGGGAAGCTTCGTTTTTTATCGTTGGAAAGAGTCTAATGCAATGCATATATTCATTTAAAATTCTCGAGATTTATTTTATAAATACAAAGTAGCGCTCCATGGTCATTTTGAAAGAGTAGTCTGCTGCTCTATAAAGATAAAACACATCTTGAACATTGACGAGTTATAAATCTACAAAAGACGAAAACTTCTATCTCAATTCATTCCAAAGTAATGAGTTAACTACTAGTTATATCTGATCGAGTTTTTATCAATATTATTTTTCGAAAAATATTTTTCAAGCGACTATTTTAAAATTGTTTTGGTCATGCCAGATCATTGCTTTCACATATTATGTAGGATATTTTTTACGAATACTTGTGACCAAAAGCGACACATCGAGGACCACGCATAGATTGGATCGTAGTTTTGCGTTCTGGCTTAGATATGTTTCTTACTATTTATATGACAACATAATTCGAGCGCTCAATAGGGGTGTGGGTGTGGGTGGGTGTGGGTGTGGGTGGGTGTGGGTGTGGGTGGCTGGTGGGGGGGGGTGTGGGTGGGGGGTGTGGGTGGGTGTGGGCGTGGGGTGGGTGTGAGTGTGATTAGAGACAAGAATAGCACACACATTCACACATTCACGCCCACACCCACACCCACACACCCCATACCCACACCCCCACATCCACACCTCACACTCACACACCCCATACCCACACCCGCACATCCACACCCCACACCCACACCCATACACCCCATAGCCACACCCACACATTTCATTTTTCATAAACCTAAAATGTGTAAGGACAGATGTGGAGAAAAGGTCCAAATTCATCAATTTTTTTGATGAATTATCAAATTCATGAAATGAAAGTGATGCAAAATTTATGAAAGCAATGTTATGACTTTCCTTTTTTCCAGGGTAATTAAAGTTATGAAATGAAAGTGAAGAAAAGTAGTGCAAAGATTTGGATTTTTACGTAGACATCAAAATCATCGGTAAGAATAATGCAAATGTAAAGAGAGTAATATAATCATTTTGATTTGTCCAGAGTAATCGAAGTTATGTAATGAAAATGATGTAAAAGTAATTGAAAGTAATGTAATGATTTTGAGTTTTTCGAATTGATCAAAATTATGAACTGGAATTGATGGAAAACTAAGGAAAGTAATGTAATAATTTTAATTTTACCAGAACAATCAAAGCCATAAACTGAAAATAAGTCAAAACTAATCAAATTAAAGTTATGACTTTGGCTTTTCAAGGGTAATGAAAGTCATGGAATAGTAGTGAGGAAAAGTGATAAAAGTAAGGTAATGATTTTCATTTTTGCGTGGTTATCTAAATCTTGGAAAGAAAATGATGCAAAAATAATGAAAATGCTGTTACCCACTGAAAACTTTTCGCGATTTTCATCGGATTTTTCTGCAACAAAATCAATTTATAATCGATTGATAATTTTGATTATTATTGATCATCATTTAACTATTACATGGTGTTACTACTTATCGAGTGTGAAATTTTCTTATTAAAATCGGATGATTCTGTACCAAATCCAGGATTATCAATCGATTAATAATTTCGATTATCCTGTAAAATAATCCGATTTTAATCCGAAAATTTCATGCTGAATAATTAACAATGTCAAATAATCGCTTAGTCGTTATCAAAAATAATTAAAATTATCAATCGATTATAATTTCGACTTTGCTGCAGAAAAATCCGATTAAAATCGCGAAAATTTTTCACTGGGATGTTGTTATAACTTTGCAAAACAAATCAAGATTACCTGATAAAAATAATGAAAAAGAAATAAAACTAATGTAATTAATTCAGTTTTTTTAAGATAGACAAATTAAAGCAGTGATTTTAATTTTTCAAGAATAGACACTTTAATGAAATGAAAATGATGTAAAGGTCATGAAAGTACTGTTGTTATAATGCTTTTGTAAAAAATTAAGATTACCTGATGAAAATGATGAAAAACAAATAAAACTAATGTAATTGATTCAATTTTTTAAGAATAGACAATTTAATGAAGTGAAAATGATGCAAAAGTAATGAAACTAATGCAGTGATTTTAATGTTTCAACAATACAGGATTTAATACAATAAAAATGAGGCAAAAATAATGAAAGTACTGTAATGATTATAGTTTTGTGAAAAACTGAAGATCATCTAATGAAAATAATGCGAAAA